TAACTATCACAGCTATTTACGGTTATTCTTAAATTTCTTTTTATAAGAAACATTCCAAAGCCTATCCTTATTCACCTGTCTATCATTACCCCTTTCTGTTGTCAGCTCTTCCTCACATTTTGGTTCTACACCAACTCTTACCAACATCTCGTTGATTCTTTGCAAAAGATTGACCAGACAACAAACTATATATACTTGGGATGTTGTTGTCAACTGTGATTTCAAGGACAAGGCATGCCCCAAGCACTCAATCCATTCCTAAGCTTACACTTGGCAACAAATATTGCAAGACATGTCTTCTTTACAGACCAATGACATATAGGAACTTGTTTCCTTACCTCCTAGCAAGAATATTGTAGGTTGCAACTTGATTTATACAGTCAAGATTGATTGGGATCACAACATTGATAATTTTTCAAAGCTTGCTACGTAGATAAGGGCTATACTCAAATATTTGGCCTCAATTATGATGAAATTTTTTCCCTTGTAGCCAAAACCATTATGCTCATTTATTTCTTGATATGACTGTCATTTGTCACTGGTCTCCTCACTTGCTAGACATAAAAATGTCTTCTGCCATGCTTAGTTGCAAGAAGAGGTTTTACTGGTTCTGGTGACAAGTGTCTTTTATGCCTCTGTTATTGCTCTTTGTATGGTCTGCAGTGCAGCAGTTTTCCTGTGCTTTGTTTGGCTGTTTTAGCTCCGCCTAGCTTTTAGTCATTTCATCTTCACCCTCTATTTTCATCTAGCCTATGCATTTATCTAGACATATATAATAGTTTGATGCATATGACATATAAGCTCTAGCATCACGGGGTTCTTAAAGATATGATTGGATTGTAGACGTATTAACATGTAAAACTAAAAATTAGGGTTCTTTACCGATTTACTTTTCATGTACCCTTTATTACAATTATTTACTCCTTTATTGTAAATAAATCAGTAGTATATGGATTAGACACATTATTTCAGTAAAATCTATTACTAGTATAGCCATAGTTGATGGTCTTCAATTACTTTTGTTTAGTCTGGGCTACTACCCTGATCATAAGAGAATCAACCATTCATGAACCACAAAGTTTTCATGTACATAAAAAGAAGAAATCAAAATTATTTATTAATCTACTTACGTGGCCCAGGAGAGTTCAATCAAGGCTGCAACTTCAGGATTCACATGCCTTGGAATATCTAGCCTTTTGTCCATAAAACCAACAGCCGCAACAACCTACATATGGAAAACAACACAGTGATGCCTTAGCACTTATTTTGATTAAAAAGATGGAACTACCGTATCAAACTAAAAGCCACTTGATGCATATTACAAAACATCATGCAGAGAGAGGCTAGTAGAAAAATGACCCAGGAAAATACTCAATTAAAACAGCTAACTGCCTCAGACTCTAATTTTAACTGAATGATATTGTGCTTAGGAATAACAACTATTTTCTAAAAGAAGACTTTGATAAGATGAAGAGAAAAAGTTACAAACAGAGGATAGGATAAGGAATCCCCCTTGGAAAAATACCAAAATAAAAGACAACAAAGAAAAAGGAGAAAATCATTGGAAAATAGCACCTCAAGTTATCAACATTTGAGCCAAGGGAGTCTCCAGACACAAGGCCAATAAGAAAGTCATTCGTTTGAGGGAAAAAAAGTGGTTGATCAGCCAATATATCCCTATAACAGAAAAGAATCTACTGCTCCAGTGAGAATTCACTTAACCTCTTCCTGAAATTTCTTACTGTTCTATCTCTCTAAACCTTATCTCTGTTGCTATTAAACCGTTATACCATTATTTAATTCTTAAAATGTTACTCTCAACTTTAATTCTGGTAGGGGGAAGCTATAATAATAAACCAAGCCTTATACATCAAAATGGATATGAAATTTGTAGAACTAGACGTATGCAAGTGATCCAATATTAGGGCTTAATAGGGTCTTGATACTACATTAAAAATGGGCATTATAGTCTTACAATTTGGCCAGGTTTCTAGTTAGTGTGAGACATCATAACACCCTTCCTCCTTGTACCCAAGGATGGATTATTGAGTAAGAAATTTGCAGCAGTAAAACACCTACAGGTTACCCATTAAGACTACACATAAATATCATAATATAAATAGACTGAGCTAAAATCAATCTCAACAGTTAACTAGGGGGGATTTTTCTCCGTGTCTCAGATTATTTTGTATAATTTTTTCACCAAAATACCACAGTTGGTTTTTTAATATTTCCCCAATAGCAAACTATACCTATTATTTACACAGATAGAATACTTTTTATATTTTTTTGTAGAACAAAATTCGGTCCTGAAGAGTCGAATTTTCACCTTTGATTGGTTGCAATCTCACCTGAAAACCAGCAGGAATTTGGTTCATGAGAAACCTAATCCCAAGTAGGGTATATATATATATATATATATATATATATATATATATATATATATATATATATATATCACTTGTGTGCAATAGATCTAAATCAAAGACAGAATTTTGGACCGGTCCAAAATGTAGAATCTGTACCTATGAAACACCAACTCCAACATGAAGACCAGAACATGGTTAGTGTCCTGTATTGGACACGCTATGTATATGTGTTTGAGGATAGATCAAGCTGCTCAGGGTATTCTAGTATTCTATCTAGAGTATCCAGTATTCTAGAAATTAACTATGTTGAATATAATAAAAATTAGGTATGAGATTAATTTTCCTTGTGTTGAATATACACATAGGATCCTCTATTTATAATAAAATAAATATGGGCTAAGCCCAAAATACAAATAAGAAATAATAACAAACTAGCTAAAAATAAAAGATAAATATAAAATAAAGAAAATATATTTAACACTCTCCTCAAGCTAGTACATACATATGTACCAAGCTTGTTATTAATATAATTCATCAAGTCTTAGTGAAAATATCTGCTTTTGCACTCGAGTGACACCAAATTGCTAATGATTTGCAAGAAGACGAAATACCAACCCAAAAGACTCTTCCTGAGCAACAAATCTAGGAGGTTCCTCCATATAAATCTCTTCTTGCAAATCGTCGTTGAGGAAGATCATCAATGGATAAAGAGGTAATTGTTGGAGAGCCACCACTGATGTAAATAAACTAACAAAAACCATCTTTTCCAAAAAAAACATATATGAACGGGTCCAAAAAAACATATATGAACGGATCAAACGCAATAGTGACAAAAGAGAGGTCAGAAGAGAAAAAAGGGAGCACATCCATAACTTCAAAAGGCGTTAAAAGCACGTAGGAGCTCCGATGAAGGCGTCGTTAATGACATGGTGGTTGCTTGACTGAGACGATCCAAACCATGTGATCGTCGATCGAAACTTGAACTCCGATAGTAGCAGTGGTAAACGCCGGCGCCGTAGGCAGATGTAGTGGCAGAGGCCACCAAAAACTTTTTCCTCAAAAGAACTTTAGGCTCTAGATACCATGTTGAATATAATAAAAATTAGTTATGGAATTAATCTCCCTTGTGTTGAATATACATATAGGGTCCTCTATTTATAATAGAATAAATATTGACTAAGTCCAAAATATAAATAAGAAATAATAACAAACTGATTAAAGATAAAAGATAAATATAAAATAAAGATAATATATCTAACAAACTAAATCAAAAGCACTGGGGAGAAGCAAATAACCTGTGAAGGATTTAAATGTCTCCATGGTTGTTGGAGGGTGACTAGTTCCCACAAAATTACACCAAAGCTGAATACATCACACTTTTCGTTTGACAGTTCTCCTCTGATGACTTCGGGTGCCATCCATTCAGGCTGGCATGTCCAGAAAGAAAAAAAAAGGGAATAAATTATAATGTCAAATCATCAAATAATTGTAGTTAAGAAAAATTTAACAAAACTTGACACATGAATGATTCAGTTAATAAGAAGAACTTACAGTCCCAGCTGCGGTTTTAGAAGAAAGAAATGTGTTTGCCTTTGTGCGTGAAAGACCAAAGTCACATACCTGAATTACATAATTCAAACATCAACGCTCAATTATCCGCACGCTCATATAGATCCATAAATGTACACGTGAGCCGTTAGTGAATGACTGCATGGGAAATTGCTAGCTTAAGCAAAACCATTCGTTTTTGGTAGGGTGGGGTTGTTAGTACAGCAGGCAATAGCAATTCAGGCACTGTTAAGCATTAATAATTAGGTTCGGCCAAATGGGGGAACAGTTAACATAACCCTAGCAGCCATCAATTGTCATGGCTAGATACATCCTAAAATTCGGCTAATAATTTATAGGCAGAAAAAGAAAAGGATGAGTTACAAAATCAGGGAGAGTCCTTTCTAATTTTATTTTATACATAACAAGAGAGTTTCTGCTGTTTCTCGCTAGGTCATAAAGGATGTTGTTGCTTTGATACTATTTTGAAAACATAGGACCTTCAGATCGAGGAGAAAGAAAGGTGAACATAGACTGAATGATGTGCAATTGATATTGGTTTAATGTGATGATAAGATGACAAGCAAAAGACAGAAAACTAACCCTGTTTATATTAATTCTAAACTCCCAATCCTAATTAAATAAGGAAGCATGTCAAGACGTATAATGGAAGGGGAGAAAGAAAAGGTGGAATATATAGATACTGAACAATCTGAAATTGATATTGGTTTGATGTGATGATCCAAAAGAAAAGACAAGGCACTAATATTATTTATACTAAAGCGGATACACTATCATATTTCACTAGTGCCTAAGTGTCCGCATTGTTTTATTACACTACCATATTTTAAGGGTCAAAATTTAATACTTATATTAGTTTTAATTTTATATATTTATTTAAAAAAAGATGTATTATTATTTTCTATATTTTACTTGTAACCAATAATTTGAATCAAAAACAACATTGCAGGAGCAATATCAATTATAGTTTTGCATGAAAAAGGGAAAAAAATGTAATTGTGTTGTGAAGTAGTTTATCTGAGGTTATTTTAAATAGATGGATAGTTTATCTGCACTGTTTTTCTTTTTGATTGCTGTATACATAAATATGACAGCTTTGAGGTTCAAAATATTAAAAATTTAAAATATAATTAAGGGCAAAATAAGAAGATGAAATGTGTACACAAAATTGGGGTATTGTATTATATATTGTTATAGATGTAAACGCAACATACTAATAGTTTTGCAGTTCAAAATATTAAAAACTAAATATAATTTAATTAAGGACAAGATAGGAACATGAAATATGTACACACAATCCCATTATATATTGGTATATATGTAGCAATAATAATTTTGAGGTTCAATATATTGAAAATTTAAAATCTAATTAAGGGCAAAATAGGAACATGAAATACATAATGAGGGTATCACATTATATATTGTTATGGATACATGCGTAACATGTAGTTTGAGGTTCAAAATAGTGAAAATTTAAAATATAATTAAACATAAATATGAATATGAATTGTGTGCACAAGGTGGGAGTGTCTCATTATATATTGTTATAGATGATAAACTCCCAATCCTAACTAAATAAGCATCGTGCGAAATATCAAAATAT